AAGAGTGGAAGCTGCAGGGTTTGCAGTTTTGGTGACTGACAGAGATTTGATTTCTCAGGTGCTTCACCCTTTCCTTGGGGGGGTGCTCACTTGGCTGAGAGAGGAACTCTGTTCCCACAGCCTGTTACTATTTGGTTGTATTATTGTAGTGCCTAGGGTCTCTGGTTGTGGACCAGGACCCCCTGGGGCTAGGCAATGTGCAAACAGACAATCCCTGCCCAGAAAATCTTGCAGTCTAAATAGAGCAGACGGCGGAAGAGGCAGAACACACAAGCAGAGCGAACGGTGTTGATGGCAGCAAACCGCATTGTCTGTCTTGGTTGGGCTCTCGTTTGAGGGGTGGATCAGCTAAAGCATAAGTAGAGGGGACATTGAAGGGCTCGGGAAGGAGAAAGACAGAAGGCAACAAAGAGGGTAGGAGGAGTGATGGTGAGGGGAACGCTGAGGCCGAGGGAGTGTTGGAGCAAACAGCCAGTCAGCACAGGGTAGAGAACGTCTAGGGAAAACTGTGGTCAGTTCCCCAGACGCCCAGTGGTCCCTGCTTTGCCTGGCTACTCTTTTTGTAGCTTTCTCCCTAGCCCATACGGCCTTGGTTTCCCCGTGAGGCCATTGATCAGTCCACATGGGAAAGTGGCTTTTGGCCACTCTTCTAGGCTACATTTAAGTGAGTGACCTAGGTTTCTATCACTCCTACAGACCACATGTGGGAATCACGCTTAAACGTGGTGCCAGCTAAACCGCTTTCAAACACAGCATGGCAGCAGTGTAGAGGGCTGTATCCAGGTAGCAACTGCCTCAGCTGGAGACATCTTCAAATAACTCCCAAAGTGGACCAGCCAGTTGTCCCTGCCTGGGGTTTGCGGCATTGGTGGCGACAGGCCCCCTATCCTATTCTCTGAGCCTGGGCCCAGGCGATGGTGGATGTTTACACTAATGCCCATAGGCCCCAATCTGGATTTCATAGAGCTGGAAGAGACCTCAGAAGGTCATCAAGTCCAGCCCCCTGCCCTAGGCAGGACCAATCCCAACTAAATCAACCCACCCAGGGCTTCGTCAAGCCGAGACTTAAACACCTCTAGGGACGGAGACTCCACTACTTCCCTAGGGAACCCATTCCAGTGCTTCACTGCTCTCCTAGGGAAATAGTTTTTCCTAATATCCAACCTGGACCTCTCCCACCACAACTTGAGACCATTGCTCCTTGTTCTGCCATCTGTCACTACTGAGCCTTTCTCCAGCCTCTTTGGAACCTCCCTTCAGGAAGTGGAAGGCTGCTATCAAATCCCCCCTCACTCTTCTTTTCTGCAGACTAAACAAACCCAAATCCCTCTGCCTCTCCTTGTAGGTCATGTGCTCCAGCCCCCGAATCATTTTTGTTGTCCTCAGCTAGACCTTCTTCAATGCGCCCACATCCTTTCTATAGTGGGGGGCCCAGAACTGGACACAATACTCCAGATGTGGCCTCACCAGAGCCGAATAAAGGGGAATAATGACTTCTCTGGATCTGCTGGAAATGCTCCTGCTAATGCAACCTAATATGCCATTAGCCTTCTTGGCTACAAGGGCCCCCTGTTGACTTCTATCCAGCTTCTCATCCACTGTAATCCTCAGGTCCTTTTCTGCTGAACTGCTACTTAGCTGGTTGGTCCCCAGTCTGTAACAACGCTTGGGATTGGGCCTCCCTGTGCTTGGTGCTGTCCCAGAACACATCCCATCTAGGTTACTTCATGGCTAGTATAGCACAATATTGTGCAGGGCACAAAGCCCAGGTGCTTAGTTTCTGTTCTGGGCAAGGCACTGAGCCACTCTCAGGACAGGTTACAGGCTGTGCCCACGGGTCACTGGTCGGACTGAGGTTGTGGAATTGCAGAGCACTTGGAACAGTCAGGATGGAAAGCACCGTGGGGTCTGCTCCCTGGCGGGGATCGGGTCTGCCCTCCTCCTCCACCACCACCACCAGGGGCTGGAGAAATGGTAGCCCTGATTGGTCCTGGAGCCAGTACAGTTGTAACCGTCCCCCAGGCTGAGGCTCTCACCCTGTTCCTGAGCCGCTTTGTTCCCTGTCTCTCCTCTCCCCAGCTGGTGTCTGCGGAGGGGTCGCACTCAGACAGCGGATCCGTCTGTGCCGATAATCAGCCGGAGCTGCCACCCTCCATAGAGCGCACCGGGGGCATCGGAGACTCCAGGCCCCCCTCCTTCCAGTAAGTCACTTGGGGAGCATTTCAGTGGGCTTCCCCTGCACAGGGAGTCACGTGAGCTCTGAGCAGGCAGTGGCCACAAACTGGGAAGGGGGAGCGTGATGAACGGGCAGGGGCTGGGTTCTTACCTAAGCAGTGTGCCTGGGAGGCCACCCGGCAGCAGTGGGGCTGGGAAGGGAGTGCTAGGACGGGGTCCCTTGGGTGGTGGGGCTGGGGATGGAGTAACAGGCACTAAGACTGGAGTTCTTTGGTCATTTGACAAGCTGCAAGCAACAGGAGGACTCACCGCACCTGCTGCTGCTTTGATCTCCCATTGCGAGAGCCCTGCAGGGATATAAAATTTTGGAATCCACATCTGTAGCTGCAAAAATGAGCTGCAGGTATCTGCATACACATGTGCGGCTGCCGATCAGATAGCCGTGGATTTGCAGGGCTCTGCGCATTGCCCAGCCCACATGACAGGCTTCCGTCTCCTTTTTCTTTTTACAATGGTACCCGCTGATTTTACTGAGGGCTTGGCAAGGAGTGCGGAAGCTGCTCTCCCCACCCCCGTGGCCTCCTAGCTCCATCTCATTGTGGGACTAAGATTACCCCCCCCCTCCCGTGTGTGCCTCAAAAGTCAGGGGATAACCGGAACTAGGGTGTGCGGAAGTGCAGTGTAGCTGGTGCAGGTCAGAGCAGGGATGAACGGGCCCTTCGGGTCCGATGGGGAGCCACTGAGTGTTCGGTTGGGTGTGTCATTCCTCTGCAGCCCCAACACCGGGGGGAGTCGGGAGAACCTGGATAATGAGACCGAGACAGATTCGGTGGTTTCATCGCAGAGGGAGAGACCTCGCCGGAAAGATGGACCTGAGCATGGTGAGCCTCGACCACCTGACTAGAGCCCCTGCAGGGCCTGGCTGGGGCTCAGGGAGGGAGCGGCTGCAGGCATACTGGCTGTGAGGGAAGAGCTGTCTCCATGGGGCTGCCTGCTGTACAATGAGGGTCAATCCCTCAGCATGAGCGGCAGGACCCCAGGGTGGCAGCCGTGTACCGCTGCTGTAGCTTGCCTCAGATCTCCCTCGAAGTTTGGACATGAGGGGCAGGAGGGGTGGACACCTGGATACCACAGGGGCAAAGACGGAGCCCCACTGGGCCAGGTACCTCTCTGTTGCCGTACTTGGGGAGAGGCTGCTTCCCAGCACCTACAGGCAGGACGTGTGTCTACAAGGGGCAGTGATGAAGAAGGTCCGGGGCCTACCCGCACCCTTTGGGGCTCTAGTTCCTCTCAGTGAAAGGCTGGGGAGTGGTTTCCAGCCTGGCTGGTGCTGCACTCTGCCCACAGCCTGGCACCTCTCGCCCCAAGGCACCATCTCTGAGCAGCCTTCCCAGCTCTGTAGGGATCGTTGCGGCTTCAATCCTTGCTCCCAGTGGCTCGGTGTCACCTTCCCCGTTATCTAGAGAGGCAGGGAAGTTGTAACCTGGAAGAGATGAGGAATGATCCAAGAACGGAGGGGACACCACAGCGTTCCCTGGTGCCAAGACAGGGTGTGTGATGCCCAATTCCTCCCCCACCCCGAAGGAATTCTTTGGTGCCCAAGTGAAGCGCTAAACCCATGTAGTGCTCCTACAAGAGGCAGGGCCGCATCTCTGCTGCAGGGTTGTCTCCCTGTGTCTCCTGTGAGTGTTGACCTCTCTCTCCCCAGCCCCCAGAGTGAACGGGACAGCGAAAGGGGAGCGGTGCCGAGACGTAGGTGGGTACGAGAGCTCCTCCACTCTCATGAGCAGCGAATTGGAGACCACCAGCTTCTTCGACTCGGATGAGGATGACTCCACGAGCAGGTAGGAGAGCGTGCAGCCTGGGGGAGCACGGACACCTCTCTCCCTCTCTGTGCTAAGGAGATGCCAAATCAGGTCACATCAGCCACGTGTCTCAGGGCTCCTCCCTCAGCTGAAGGCGCTCAATCCCAACCAGCAGCCCCCTCTGCTTTTCTAGTCCTCTGCTGCCCCCACTCCTAGCTCACAGCGTTCTCTCCTCCTGCTCCTCCTCTGTGGCCATCCCGCTGACCAGTCTGTCTTCTCTTGACCCCTGTGGGCAGTGGGGCTGACTGTCTCCTTTGCTGGCAGGTTGAGCAGCTCGACAGAGCAGAGCAGCGCCTCCCGCCTGATGAGGAGGCACAAACGACGCCGGCGGAAACAGAAGGCCCCACGCATCGAGCGGGTACATCTCTTGGGAGGGCTGTTGCAAACCTGGGGCTGGGGTTTCCCTCTGCACTTCTGTGGGGGGCTAAGCTTTGCCCTGGCACCCACGAACTCAGCCAGTAGAGTCTCCAGCCACTACAGATGGAGCCCAGGGGCTGAGAATCTGCTGGCAAAGGTACCACAAACCCTTCTGGGTCAGTGCTGCTGCTGGCACCGAAGGTCTCTCTTGTCCCAGTCACAGAGGGTACGTGTGGGATGCAGCCACCTGTCTGTGTCTGAGCTTCCAGCATTGGGCAGGGTAGGGTCTGAGCATGGGGACAGCACTTCAGGGTGGGACAGCAGAGTGCCTGGGGTCAGTGGAGAACAGGCTGGGACTGGTGCGTGGGCCAGGGAGATGTTTCATTGTGCCTCATTGTGTTGCAGTCGTCGTCCTTCAGCAGCATCACAGACTCAACTATGTCTCTGAACATCATCACAGTCATGCTAAACATGGGTGAGTGAGAGACTCTTGTTCTGTGGGGGCCTCAGGCACTCCAGGAGTGAGACCGGGAGATGCAGTGGGGTAGCAGGCAGTGGGGAGGTAATGAAGGGAGAGGGCCCCTGAGGAAACGGATTGGTCCTGAAGCATTGGTCCCCTGAAAGATGTGCCAGTTTGTAAGGATTTGGTTGGGATCAGGATTGTTTGAGGGGAGGAAGGGGGGAGGGTTAGGCCCTGGGATTTGGTGCAGGATAAGTTGCAGCCTCTTCTTCCCCCAGCCTTAGCTCTGCTACCTTGGGGTATGCCTAGACAGTGTTGCTCTTTTGGGATACCAGAAGTGTCCCGAAATAACAACGCCGTGTCTTTAAAAGTGCCTGCTATTTCCCAAAATTGCGGGTGCACTATTCCAGCGTCCCTGTAACCCTCCTTCCACGCTGTGCAGACAGCGGCAGATTTCAAGATAAGCTCTTTCGGTTTAGACTCAGAATAAGCTACGCAATTTGTGTTGTGTACATTGGGTAGCTTATTCCTACAGCAGGGTGCAGTCTAGACACACCCTGGATGTCCCGAGTGCCATGTTACTCCACTGTTGCTTCCCAGCTGCATTTTGTCTGGGAGCCTGAGGGGCCAACATGCACACGGGGAGGGCTCCAAATGTCTCTGTGTCGAGGTGAGCGGTGCCCTTCCAGTGCTTCAGGGCAAGGGAGGAGCCCGGCACGGTAGGTGTCATCTCTATCATCCCAGGGGAAGGAGGTGGGGAGCAGGCAGAGCATTAGGAGGCTGTGGAGATCAGGGCTGACCTGGGTGGAGTTGGGAAGGGAGGGCCAGAAAGCCACTTGAGGGATAGGGAGGGTGGTGATGTGGCAGTGGCAGAAAAGCCTCACGCGCATTGGCCCTCGACAATCCCCGTCCCTTCCTGCTCTCACTGCGCCCGTTCTCCCCTTACCTGCAGAGAAGTACAACTTCCTGGGCATCTCCATCGTGGGACAAAGCAATGAGCGTGGGGACGGTGGCATCTATATCGGCTCCATCATGAAGGGGGGCGCCGTAGCGGCTGACGGCCGGATCGAGCCCGGAGACATGCTCTTGCAGGTACAGTGCGCCTCGCCGCGGAGGCTGGGACAGGGACCGCGGGGCACTCGGGGCAGACGGGAGCCCCTGCTCGCAGACTGACAGCCAAGTTGCAGAAGGCCCTCCCCAAAGGAGGGAGCTGAGTCCAGCCTCCAGCCATGTCGCGGGGATTCAGCCGCTCGCTGCCTTGTTTGCAGGTGAATGATATCAACTTTGAGAACATGAGCAATGATGACGCTGTGCGTGTGCTGAGGGAGATTGTGCACAAGCCGGGGTAAGTGTTTTCCTCCACCTCACCCACTAGCTCTCTTGTCTGGGGCAGGTGGCCTCCAAACCAGCGTCTCCTACTACAGGCCCCTTTGCTCTGCCTCATAGATATTGGTGGTGCAGCTAGCCCTTGGGGTCTTCGAACAGCAGCCCCTTGCAGTGCTCGGCAGATCCCCCATCCCACCCCTTATGCTGGGTCAGGGGAGGTGGCCCAGGGCTCACAAACGCCCTCTCCTTATTGGTATCACTGACTCCTGGGTTTGAGATGAATAAGATGAGAGAAATGCAAAGTGCTCCACTTAGGAAGGAACAATCAGTTCCATACATACAAGATGGGAAGCGACTGTCTAGGAAGGAGCATGGCGGAAAGGGATCTAGGGGTCATAGTGGACCACAAGTTGAATATGAGTCAACAGTGTGATGCTGTTGCAAAAAAAGCAAATATGATTCTAGGTTGTATCAACAGGTGTGTTGTAAGCAAAACTCGTGAAGTCATTCTGCCGCTCTACTCTGCACTAGTTAGGCCTCAGCTGGAGTACTGTGTCCAGTTCTGGGCACCACATTTCAAGAAAGATGTGGAGAAATTGGAAAGGGTACAGAGAAGAGCGACAAGAATGATTAAAGGTTTAGAGAACATGACCTATGAAGCCAGGCTTCATGAACTGGGCTTGTTTAGTTTGGAAAAAAGAAGATTAAGGGGGGACATGATAGCGGTTTTCAAATATCTAAAAGGGTGTCACAAGGAGGAAGGCGAAAATTTGTTCCTCTTGGTTTCTGAGGACAGGACAAGGAGTAATGGGCTTAAAGTGCAGCAGGGGAGGTTTAGATTGGACATTAGGAAAAAATTCCTAACTGTCAGGGTGGTCAAATATTGGAATAAATTGCCAAGGGAGGTGGTGGAATCTCCCTCTCTGGAGATATTTAAGAACAGGTTAGATAGACATCTGTCAGGGATGGTATAGACGGAGCTTGATCCTGCCTTGAGGGCGGGGGGCTGGACTCGATGACCTCTCGAGGTCCCTTCCAGTCCTATTATTCTATGATTCTATGAACCTTGAAAGAGTCCCAGGCAAGAGCTGGAGCTGGGAGAGTCTCCGTGGTCAGGTCATGAACCAAGTGTCCCAGCACTGGTCCCTTGTCTCTAGTGAGGCTGGGTTTGCCAAATGCCCCTGTGGTTCCCATTGCCCGCCTTGTTCCCACCTGTGCCACCTGCATGCAGGTGATCCCCATCCGAGAGATCCGTGCTTCTATTTGAAATCCTGGCCCCGCCCACTTCTAAAGGCCCCGCCCACAGCCTTGCGGATGGGACCTCTGGACCCGGGACTCAGCTGGTTTTGTGGGACAACTGATGAAAAACAGGGTCAGGAGTGTGCAGGTCATGGGCTCGAAATGAAGGAACTGGATGGGGACACCGAGCAGAGACCCCGAGGCAGCACTCACTGCTCCTCGAAGCTGTCTAGAGAGCCAGTGGACGCCGCCCCGAGGAACTCTGCCTGGATACGTGAAATAAGGGGGGAGCGGGAAGAGGCCCCACAGTCGCAGAGCACCCCCTCATCCAGCATCCTCCTCCTGGTGTCGTAGATAATGAGGAGGTCTTGTGACTTCGTGGGGCCACCGATGGGGTGGACAAAAATGAATCCGTGCGGGGAGAAGTGCAGCTGGAACCTCGATGAGAGGTTCTGGAGGAGCCGGAACAGGCTGCAAGGAGGTGCACTCGAAGCAGGCACACGCCAGGTTCTCCCTCACGCTGCAGAAGGGGCAGGTGCCAGAGATCGGGGTGAACACACCCGTGCTCCTGGCCCCAGACAAGCCTGTACTTACCCTACCTCCAATGGAGCAGGCTGTGCGACCTGTAGGCCAGCCCCTGTGAGAGCAGCCTGGCTCTGCTGCTTGCTGGCTTGAGTGCAGGTTGCAAAAATGTTGTTTCTGCTGCAGGCCCATCACCCTGACGGTGGCCAAGTGCTGGGACCCCAGCCCCAGGGGCTGCTTCTCGTTACCGCGTAGTAAGTTGATTGCTGACGCGCCCTTCACACTGGTGCCCAGCCCATGGGGGCCTCTCCGCGAGCACCTGCTTGTTTGCTTCTTCTCCTGCTTGCTGAATGGGGAGACTGAATGTGGGGTAGCTGGGGGTTGTGTGTCTCTCCTCCTGTGGTGGCTACAAGGCCCCCAATGCAGGCCTTTGAGCCCTGCAGTCTCCTCCTTGTGTCCTACAGTCCAGAGAGCTGAAGTCCCCCACTGCCCGCCCTCCTCCCCCACATCATGCCTAGGACGTGCTCACTGAACCAGGGCGGGAGGGTCACCTGCTCGGAGCTCTAGAGGAAGGAGAAACTCTCCCAAGATCGCTGCCACTGAGCCGTAGGGGGGACTCTCTCCCTCGGCGCCCCTCTTGCTGACCCTCCCTCTCTTCTTTCTCTCCCAGTTGCTCCCCAACGGATCTGGGCTGGGCCAGACTCTCCGTGCTCCGATCCGGGTGAGTCCTGGCTGATGCTGGGGAAGGAAGGGGCTGCCCAGGACGCCCCTGAGAGGCAGGTATCACGAGGGAACGATTCTCTGACTGCACCTGATTGTCTCTGCCTTCGCTCTAGGTGAGCCCATCCGACCCATCGACCCGGCAGCCTGGGTTTCCCACACAGCAGCGATGACCGGCACCTACCCGGCGTACGGTATGAGCCCATCCATGAGCACAATCACTTCCACCAGCTCCTCCATCACCAGCTCCATCCCAGAGACCGAACGTAAGTCCCTGTGTGCTCCCCCCACTGCATGGCTTCCAGTCACCTGCGCTGTGCCTGCCGGCACCCCAGCCTGACAGGAGCAATACATCTGCCTGGGCAGAAACCAGAGGTCAGGGAGGGCTAGGAAAGGGGGAGCCAGGGACCAGCAGGAGTGGGGACTGGAGGAACAGCAGCTCCCTCCGGGCAAGGACCAGGCGTGGCTGGAGGGGGAAATCTCTGCAGGCAGGCGCCTGGGGCTGGCTAGGAAAAGACCCTTTGCCCAAAAGCGCTGGACAAGTACAAGCTTTGGGTGAGCACATTCAGGTCAGTTTTCCTGCTCTTCAGACAAGGGCAACAGGAGAGGCAGGGTGCAGGCTCAGTGCCATGGAAACATTGGGCTGGAAGGAGGCTTGAGGGGTCATTCCCCCCACGCTGAGGCAGGGCGAGTAACCCTAGACCGTCCCTGAGGAGGAGTTATCCAGCCTGGACTTAAAAATCTTTCCAATGATGGAGATTCCGAAGCTAGTGGGAGGGGAAGTGATGTCAGCCAGGCAGGGAATGCCTTGGGAAAAGTAAGTGGGGCCAGGGAGAAAGGCCCTGCTGGGCCTGCATGAGGTTGTGCCTCTTTAACCAGAGGCTTGTGGGAGGGAGAGAGGATGGAGCTGGGACTTTCAGCTACAAGCAGGTAATTCAAAGGTAGCTGTAAGAAGTTGGGGGGCCTGGTAACTCACAGGACTGGGGGCCTGGAGCCAGGCAGCCCTGTGCTGAAGTGTAGAGCCCCCTTCGGCTCCATCCTGGTCGGGGTAGTTGGCAAAGAGTGAGGTGATTACCCGATGGGCACCTGATTCCTCTAAAGACTGAACAAGCTCAGGAGAGCAGGCTGGCTTCTGTGGGAGGTTCTGCAGCAGATGCTCAGGCAGGCAGCCTCCACAAGGGCTACAGGAGAGCTGCCAGGAGCTTGCTCAGTCAGGGGGATTGTTGAGTTGTGTTGTGGGGGTTTGCTGATGGTTGTTGGTGCCACCAGTACTGGGTACTGAGAAGAAAGTGACACTGGTTCTCTCCTGAGCTAGGGAGACAGACCTTTCTGGCAAAGCTGGAAGGTGCCAGTTCGATTTCCCAGCTAAACCAGGATCTGGTACAGAGCAGCTTTTAGTTTTTGGTTTGGTTTTGCATGGGAAGAAAGCTGACGAGATCTAGACCAGCGTGTTGGCCAGTTCCTCAGTGTTATGAGGTGTGCCTGCGATGTATTGCTCCCTGGCCCATCTTCTTGTATGTGACACCTCCATGTGGCTTCCTGGTCTCTTCCATCTCCTCTCATCTCTGCCTCCCTTCCCTTCGTCCGCCTCGCAGGCCTCGATGACTTTCACCTGTCCATCCACAGCGACATGGCCACCATCGTCAAAGCCATGGCCTCCCCCGAGTCAGGCCTGGAGGTGCGCGACCGCATGTGGCTGAAGATCACCATTCCCAATGCCTTCATTGGTAAGAGGCAGCCACTTCCTTCTCTGGAGCTGGGGAGTGGATGGGTGGGCAGGCATCTTCCCTGTGTGAGTGGTTCCTGTTGGGGACTTTGCCAAGAGAAAACCACAAGGAGTCCTGAAGCACTTCAAAGGATAACACGTATTAGGCTATAAGCTTTCATGGGCTGCAGCTCACTTGGTCAGAGGCATGAAGTGGAAGCTTCGGTCTAGCAGGGATTTAACATACATGCAGAGATGGGGGTGTCACATCAGTGCTAACGAGGCTAATTCAGTCAGGGTGGATGTGGCCCACATCCGAGAGTGGATAAGAAGATGTGAATAGCTAATGGGGAAATTTACTTTCTGTAATGAGCTAGCCGTTCCCAGACCCTGTTAGGAACCATTCTGATAGTTCCATATCAATTCCAGCTCTGCAGTCTCATGCTGCAGTCTGTTGTTGAAGTGTTTTTCATAGAACACAAGCACAGGAAGGGACCTCAAGAGATCATCACATCCAGTCCCCTGCCCTCCCGGGCAGACTTTTGCTCAAGTCCGGCAGCTTTCCAGTCTGTTACTGTGTGTGGAGGGAGGTTACGGTGCTCTCCTCCTGATTTGTGGATGGTACTGTTCCTGGCGTCTGATTTGTGTGCATTTATTCCGTGGCGTAGAGACAATCCGATTTGTCCAGCGCACATGGCAAAGGGGCAACAAGCCATTTGCCAAGAGAACATCCTTCTCTGTTGTGTACTCTTGGCTCATTGTGTTGGTCGTGCTAGGGGGAAAAAATACAATCCGTGGCCCTGTGCTGTCCCAAGGAGGGTCTCTGCATCCTTCTCATGCATGGAATCTCCATCTCTGGAGATATTCAAGAGCAGATTGGGCAGACATCTGTCAGGGATGGTCTACTCTGGATGGTGCCTTTGATCCTGCTGTGAGGGCAGGGGACTAGACTTGGTGACCTCTCGAGGTCGCTTCCAGTTCTAGTGTTCTATGAGTCTGTGATTTTTATGGCCTACTCTCATCCCTCACCCCTGAGACTAATTCAGGCCACCTTTGTCTTGCGCCTCTCCCCCCTGAGCCAGCCCTTCCTATCCTCACTGTGTTTCACCGTGCTTTGTGGTTGATCTCATGGCAGGTTCAGATGTGGTGGATTGGCTCTATCACCACGTGGAAGGTTTTACAGACCGGCGGGAATCCCGCAAGTACGCCAGCAACCTGCTGAAGGCCGGCTACATCCGACACACCGTGAACAAGATCACCTTCTCTGAGCAGTGCTACTACATCTTTGGAGACCTCTGCGGCAGTATGGCCCCATTCTCTAGTGCTGGGGTGGGGTGGGGGTATGAGGCTTCAGAGCAGAGCATCTCTTTTCAACCCTGACAACTCTCTGCTGAGAGTCTTGCAGTGGTTTGCCACCTCTAGACTGCCAGCCCAAATCCCTTCCACCTCCGGCTGCACAATCCTTTCTCCTGGGAAGATCAGGGAGGAGTGAAACGTCCCCTTTCTTTGATCGCATCCTAGCCCTAAACCTCTGAATGGTGGAGAAATGGGCAGGGAGCTGAGACGCAAGGACACCTGGCTGGCTCTGCTCTAGGGATGTGAAAATTAGATTAATCAACTAATCGAATAGCCGATAGAAATTCCATCGATTAGTCGATTGGTCAATAAGGGTGTTTCCGCTTTGCGATGTAGCAAGAGCCCGCCTGGCTGTTGCTACATTTCAAAGGCGGAAGCGCCATGCGGCATTCTGCCTTAGAAATGTACAAGAGCCCCAGCAGGGGCTCTTGCACATTTCGAAGATTGAAACGCCGCATGGAGCCTGGCACCACCGGGGGACTTAGAGTTTTCCTCTTTGAAATGCCGCGTGGAGCCTGGGCAACAAGGGGGGAAGCAACTAGTCAACTAGTGTGTCGACTAGCTGATAAGCTTTTGCTTATCGGCTAGTCAATTAGTCACTTACATCCCTACTCTGCTCAGCTGGGAGGGACGGGAAGGAAGAGAGACAAACCGACAGACCTAAGGGGGTCTGGCCAGCTTGAACGTCGCCCTTTCTCTTCTGAGCAGGTTTCTGAGTATCTAGCTGAACACTGATCCTTTCTCTGAGCAAGTAGGGCGCAGTAACCTGGGCTGGTGTCTAGCAAGGAGGTGTCCATAGCTGTCCTCCAAAATCTTCTGCCCCTGAGGCAGGTATCCCATGATTACCTGTCCGCAGGGATGGGGGTGAAGTTGCCCCACTGTATATGACTGCTTTAATTCCAGGACCAATCCAGGCTCTCTGTTTGCTTCTCTCCAGACATGGCTAACCTGTCCCTGCATGATCATGATGGATCCAGCGGAGCCTCAGATCAGGACACGTTGGCTCCACTCCCCCACCCAGGAGCTGCACCGTGGCCCATGGCTTTCCCATACCAATACCCACCACCTCATCCATACAACCCCCATCCAGGATTCCCTGAGCCAGGCTACAGCTATGGCGGGGGCAGTGCAGGCAGCCAGCACAGTGAAGGTAAGTGTGTGAAAGGAGCTGAAATGAGTTAAGGAAAATATCCAATGGCACCTTTGGCGAGCAAGCCAAGATCTGGGTCATCTCCTGGAACGAGGAATACGTCTTCCCTCTCTTGCGTGCTCACCGCCCAGCGGGACCGGTGCATTGCAGCATAGTTTTTGAAGCCTCAAGTATGGCTCATTGCCACAGGCTAGATCCTGGGCGTGATGGAACCAGTGTATGATCTCTCCTTTCACAGAGCCTCAGAGAGCTAGAGGGCAAGTTTGAAAGGAGATGACCAGCTTTGCTGCAAAGGTACCCTGTAGAGCTATCATAGCTCAGGTTGTTATGGTAGTTCCTGACGACCACTCTAGATCGGGGCTCGGCCAGGACAGACACACAGTCGCGAAGTGTGCCAGCTGTGAAGACGTAAGGGTGGACCTCATAAGAAGCATGAACAATGTGATGACAGCACATGACATGTTACTTCTGTGATTTTTTAAACATGATTAGTGTTTCCTTTTGGGGGGAGGAGGGGCCAGAGGAGTTAGTTCAAAGTGTATTACCTATGGGGAAATAAAAGGGAAGGGAGAGAGGAAGAGTGAAGCTGAGGTGAAGAGCCTGGGAGGAAGGGAGGAAGTTGGAGTGCCCAGTCAATCACTGGACCAGGAGAGAATTCTGAATGACGCCCAACTTTGGCTGCTTCTGCCCTTCCTGGCTGGGGTCCGACTGGTTCCTGTCTGTGTTTTTTCCCAAGGCCACACATTGTGGCCTTGTCTTCGGGGAAGCTCCTTTTATTCCAGTCTCTCCCTCCCCCTCCTGTGCCGGCTAGGGATGTATGTTGGGGGTTTGCTGTTGGGGCCATTCCCTAACCTTGCCTTGGGCTTCTGGCAGGGAGTCGGAGCAGCGGTTCAAACCGCAGCGGCAGTGAAAGAAGAAAGGAGAGAGACCCAAAGGCTGGCGAGTCCAAGTCAGGCGGCAGTGGCAGTGAGTCGGACCACACCACCCGGAGCAGTATGCGGCGGGAGCGGGCGGCCAGTGAACGCTCGGTGCCAGCCAGCCAGCGCAGCCAACACTCTCTGGCTCACAGCATCCGCAGTCACCACAGCCAGCAGTCATATGGGCCGCCTGGCTTGCCACCCCTCTACAGCCCACCCATGCTGCTGATGCCTCCGCCGCCTTCTGCCATGGGGCCCCCAGGGGCCCCGCCGGGCCGTGACCTGGCCTCTGTGCCCCCTGAACTGACGGCCAGTAGACAGTCATTCCGAATGGCCATGGGCAATCCCAGTGAGTTCTTTGTGGATGTAATGTGAAGCACCCGTCCCCCTGTCTGTCTGCTGCCCTCGTCGGTTTGTCTCCTAGGAACAGCCCTGGCTTCACTTTGGTTTTTGTTTTGTTTTTCGTTTGTCTTGATAACTAAAAAAGGGAAAAATAAACCGAACTAAACCTTGATTTTAATCCCTACTGCCGTGGCGTGGAGGCCTTGCTGAGTCCTGCCAGCCCCACCCGGCCCAGCCCTCCTCCGGACTCGCGTGTGCAGAGGCAAGTTGCTGCTGCTTGTGCAAGCCCCTAATCCCCATCTCTAACTCCATTAACCCGCATCCATCCTGGTGCCTGTGCTGCTCGCCTGTGTGTAGCTGCCGCTGCCACCTCACTCCTTCCACCCTAAATGTCTCCTCTTTCTTTTCACCCTTTTGTGTTTCTTCTGTCAAGCAGCAAAGAATTACGGGGTGTTTGACTTCCTCTGAGCTTGCCGCCCCCAGGGGTGAGAGCTGGAGCATGGCATGGCGGCTTGGCCCAACAGAGGAGGACATGAAGCCCCAAGGGTGCTGGGCACGTACGGTGCTGAAGATGGCTTCTTTCCCACTAGCTGAAGACGCTCCCCTGTCCCCTCCAGAGCCCTGAGAGGGGAGCAGGGCCCAGCTCCAGCCGTGTGTGTGTTCAGCTTAATCAATGTAGCCACCTCCCAGCCAATGGCAGTGCCTCTGGGCAGTGGAGAAGGTGAGGCCCCAACTGGGAGGGTGCCACGCCCTGTTCCTCCACCCCACCACAACCTGCTCAGATGTAGGCCAGGGACTGTTACCCTACAGCGGGGTGGGGAATCTTTTTGGGGTCGGGGGCCACTGACCCATAGAAAAATCAGTCGGGAGCCACATCCAAATGAGAAGCCCCTGACCGAGAATCAGAAAGACACTCCCCACATTCCCCTTGCACGCCATAGCCTGGGGTGGAGGGCAGCCTAATAGATTGTGTGTGCTCCAGCCCTGCGGATAGATGGCAGTGGGGTTGGAGCACCAGCCCCAATGCTGAGCCTTGAGGCCCGCTCCCAAGCAAGCCGAGGGCCGCATCCGGCCCCCGGGTCTAAGGTTCCCCACCTCTGCCCTACAGCATTAAGCCTAGTCTATTCCTATGGCAAGGCCCCACGTAGGTTTGGAGGCCATACGCTAATGAGGCTCTCTGTTCCTGACTGAGTGCTGTTGGGTCAGTAACGCCCGAGGCAGGTAGCGACCAGTGGCAGGAGCCTGACATTGCTGAAGTACCTGCCATCCGTTCCTCAGGGCTCTACACATACCCGCGAGCTGTGTGGTGTGGATTTGGCTGAGCATGAGGGTCCCATTTACACCCGCTGTTCCACGTGGGGGTCTCGCTCTGAAAATGTGCCTGTAGTCTAGGCTGCCCCCCTCGGTGCCACTCTCACTCCCCACGTGACCATGACTACCCATTCCGTAGCCACAGAACATGCTCCATCCAGGCCTGCTGTGCGTAGCTGGGGGCTGCAGCTGCTGGCTGTACTCTCCTATGCTGGTGCTAAGCAGCAGGCTGAATGTGCAGAAGCTATTAGGCCTAATCGGAGCCAGAGGAGGGGGCAGTTGGGGGAGGGGGAGAGCACGGTAGTGTGTTCCCCTGCAGCTGCTGCCTTCTGAGCCGCTGTCTGTCTCCCTCTGTTCTAGAAGAGTAAGTTGTGCTGGCTTCTTGTTCTCTTCTTCCCCATGGACAATGGAGGGGTCAGAGCCGGCCCAAGCTACGGGCTGACTGGGCTACTGCCCAGTGCGCCCCATTCTAGGGGGCGCCGTGTGGCGTTGCCGCGCATGCACCGGGCGCCAGGGGCACTGTGCGCCCGGGGGCGGGGCCGCGCATGTGCTGCCCTCCCAGTGACAGCGCTGTGCTCCTGGGCCCGGGGCGCACGAATGGCTCGGGCCGGCCCTGGGAGGGGTGAGTAAGGATCAGGTTCTAAGGAGACTGGAGAGTGATCCCTTGCCCTGCTGTGACAGTCCCTATTTGAGACACTGACCTGTTCTGGGTAGTGGTACTGCAGCCCTGGCCTGTGGCATGTATACGGGGCCTGGACCATGTCCCTCCCGAGGACTGTGCTCAGTTTAGCTATTAGAGAAAAGTTCTCTTTCTTCCTCGGCCTCCTGAGGCTCACTGAGCCCTGTTCCTCCCAGCCCATGCTGGAATGACAGAGGGGCCATCTTGGGTAACGAGCTAGTGCACAAGAGTACATGGTACGTTAAGCTCCATCTGAGCCTCCCTGAGTCCTCTTGCTGTCAGGCAACAGCTTCCTCTGCAATCGTATAAACGGTATAAACTCCTTGGAGTTGTGGTTTTTAGTTTTCTTAGCAGGTGAAATATATTTTACACCTGGAACCAATTCATCCACTGCCCCCGTTCTGCCCCATCTGCCATCCCAGCACCAGCCACCCTGCTCTCTGTGCCATCCTCCTGCCCCTCTATCACAGCACCAGCTCTTCTACAGTTCATCATTCTTCTAGCTCCCCTCCATGCTGCCACTGCATCTCCTGTGCATAATCCTTCGTATCTACCCTGGTGCCAGCCTGTCTAATATCCACCATCCTGCCCAGTGTACCATCCTCCCACCTCATGCTACCACCTACCATCCTACCCTGCCTTCCAGCCTGACTCTGGCTCCTTCCCCTGCCTGCTGGGTTTTATAAAAACAAAACCAATTTCCTTGTTTTTATTTATAAACATAGTTTTATTGGAATCTGGCTCCTGTGGTCTTTACTCCTCTTCTGTCCTGTGTCTTGGGCTGATGTGGCTGGCCTGCAGTGTGCTTCCCTCACTGTGGAGGCCTAGAACGCTCAATCCTATTCATTTCCTGATGAGCTCTTCTCAGATGTTTCCGGCTCTGGCAAGTGAACAGTCAGTGTCTGTCCTATGCTGCTGTTTCTCCAACAGAATGAGATTCTCATGCTCGCTGGGGCCCAACCCAGAGGGGCGTGGTATATTTTTGACTGTGTGCCCTGATGGAGGTCATCTTGGAAAAAGGAGCCACGACCTCTCTCTTAACTGAGACCTAAACTACAGTGCTTGATCTTTCTTATGCCTGCCTTAAATAGAAGGAAGCTAATGCAACTGTGGTAGAATTGAATGGGATGGTTGAGTAATCCTTCCCCACGTGTCTGCTGTGTGCACTTGGGAATAAATGGATTTCAGTAGCCACTCAGAATGGCTGGGGTGGGGCAGTTGGCTCAGAAAGGAACGGGGGGAATAGAATAATCTATGCTGCTAAAAGTGCTGTTTTTGCCAATATAAGCTGTTCCTATGCTAGGAGCACCTTGATGATTATAGTATACTAGCACATTTACCCAGTGTTGCTCAGGTCCTTAAAGAGGGGCTCAGGGCAGGGGACTGAGGCTTTGGGGGGGTGCAGGAGTCAGGATTGGGATATAAGAAGAGGCTTTAAGCAGGGGAGTGTGTATGAGAGAAAGACAGGCAGGGGAAGGTTGAAGCCCCTTCCTCCCCCCTCAGATTCATACCAGAGCTATCACCTAATAAACCATCTTGTTAGTCTTTAAAGTGCTGCATAGTCCTGTCTTTTGTTTCATACCAGAACTACTTGCTGTTTCCCTTCCTGTCCCTGTCAGGGAGTGAGAGTGAGGTGCACAGCATGTCTGCATCCTATGCTTCCTACGCAGCAACGCTATTTCGAAATAACTTAGTTCGCATCTACACAGCCAGCAGTTATTTCAACATCATGTTGAAATACTGTCAAGCTGGAGGACGTCTTAGTCTGACTCATAACCCTCGTTTTATGAAGAGTAAGGGAAGTCAGAGGAAGAGTGCTCTATTTTGAAATAAGTGCTGTGTAGGTAGCACCAAAACTTGAAATAAGCTACGCTGTGTAGCTTATTTTGAGTAAAGCCCTGCTGTGTAAACGCACCGAGAGTGAGGAAGGCAGCAAACTGTGCGCTTTCCCCTCTCTTCCTACCAAAGGGGGACAGCAATGTACCTGTACAAATTGAGGGGAGAGCTTCAGCCCTGTTTGGTGGGCCTAGCTCTTACCATTTAGGAGTTTTTAAACCAACAGGCAAATTCTTTCAAATATATAGTAGATGGGTGTATAGCTGTGCACAGTGAAGCTTTCCAGGTGTAGACTGGGGCCTTTGAATACCTGTCTCCTCCATGTGACTTTCCTTCTGTTACCTCCAGTCCAACCAGGAGCCTTTGATACCTTTATCTTTAACAGAATCCTAGAAGAGAATCAAAATGCAGGACAATGTAGCACTTTAAAGACTAACAAGATGGTTTATTAGATGATGAGCTTTCGTGGGCCAGACCCACTTCCTCAGATCAAATAGTGGAAGAAAATAGTCACAACCATATGTACCAAAGGATACAATTAAAAAAAGTGAACACATATGAAAAGGACAAATCACATTTCAGAACAGGAGGGGGATGCAGGGGGGGGGGGAAGGAAGGAAGGTAAGTAAGTGTCTGTGAATTGATGATATTAGAGGTGGGGAGAGTGGGATGTTTGTGAGTTAATGGTACTTACCTTCCTCCCCCTCCTGTTCTGAAATGTGATTTGTCCTTTTCATATGTGTTCACTTTTTTTAATTGTATCCTTTGGTACATATGGTTGTGACTATTTTCTTCCACTATTTGATCTGAGGAAGTGGGTCTGGCCCACGAAAGCTCATCATCTAATAAACCATCTTGTTAGTCTTTAAAGTGCTATATTGATCTGCATTTTGCTTCAGCTACCCCAGCCTAACACGGCTACATTTCTATCACTATTCTAGAAGAGAATGTGTTCTATTGAAAATACAGGGGGCTGGGACTAAACTGTCCCCTTTTGACATTGTGAGGCCTTTTCCAAATTCTAGATTGGACAAATGAGGCAGAAGGGTGAAGAAGGAATTAGGAGAGTGGCCAACTCTTGCAATATCTGATGTTTAACTTGAAGTCTCAGGGGC